ATATATATATATATAATACAGATTATTTTATTATAACATATATTTATGATATTATTTTATTATAATAAATAATGTATTGTTATTTCTCTATAATAATATAACATACAATATAGTATGTATTGCAGAACCACTTAAGGCTTCTTTCTATCTATCTATCTATCTATCTATCTATCTATCTATCTATCTATCCTATCTCTCTCTCTCTCTATCTATCTATCTATCTGCCTATCATTTAAACTAAAGCATTTTAAACTAAATTTTCTGCATTCCAGTTTCTTATTTTTCACTTACCATCCTTTATCTGTTCCAGGATTCCATCAAGGAAAGCACATTGCATTTGATCCTATCTTCTTAGGGTCTTTTTGGCTGTGACAATTTTTTATGTTTTACCACTTTTGATTAATGTGGTGGTTTTGAGGAATACTAGGTAGGTGCCCCTCTGTTGGGATTTCTCTGCTGTATTCCCATGGTTGAACTGGGGTTATGGATTTTGGAGACTATCCAGAGAAGAACTGCCATTCCCATTATGTTGTATTGAAGACCTACATTGTCAACATGATTTATGACTGTTCACATTGACCTTGATATCTGACTGAGGTAGTGTCTGTCAGATTTCTCTGCCAGAAAGTTATATTCTTTTCTCTCCTTACGCGAGATACATTTTGAAAAGAATTCAGTATGTGCTCTGCATGGTTAAGGAGTGGGGAAGTCTGCTTTCTCTCCTTGAGAGTATCTCCAAGTGTTAATTGAAATACTTACACGGAGTCTTTAAACAATGTTTCTGGTATAACTTTTCTATGGTATAAATGAACTATTTGTTTTATTGTGTGTAAATTTATACTAGGGAGATTAGATGCTCCGTAATTTGGTAGATACTTATATTAATTCATAATAGGCATATTTGTAATCTAATGTTACCTACTTTTTAGCTTTTACACCGTTGGTAATTTAGTAAGCCTGGTTCTATTTCCCCTGCTTGCCTGAAATAACATTATTTCTGTTGAAATGTGTCAGAAATAGTAACACTACTTAAAAGTTACTTCTCATTCTTAATATATCTCTCAATTTCTACATGATGAAATATTTCTCAGTTTTTTGATAGTTGACCAGGAAAAATGGAAGTCTCATCTCGTTTCAAAGAAAAATTGACCACTAAACACAGGAGGCAAACCATACATAAAGTGAAGGAAACATTTGCCATGATAATTACTAGTTCATTTCTCACATGGTAGAGCTGTGTTGCATCCCATTAAGTGTGAGAATGAATAGAAGCAGAGAAAAGTTTAAGGTTACATGGGAAACAAAATACTTCCAGTTTTAATTACTAACTACAGGTCCTTTTTAAATTTATTTTTATTTTATTTTATTTTTGGATTCAGAAGGGGTTCCAGGTCTCCTGGACATGATTAAGTTTGGTGTATGGGCTTGCCAGGCTGTCTCCTTCTTCCTTTTGAGAACTGCTTGAAATGACTGGAGAGGTCAGACATGAAAACAGGTGATGAAAATATTTGGCGGGGGGGGGGGCGCGGGACGCACAAAGAGTAATTCTCTGCCTTTGCCAGCAGTTCTGTTTAGTGACCTGCAGAAGCTGGCCCAGCTTTAGATATTGCAAGATGGTGGAGCAAAGCTCACTGTTTACAGGACCATATCTTTTAAGTAACTATTGTATTTTCATTGAAAGGTTTTTATACTAGTTTGTTGTAGCACCTGGTCCTTGAACTGAATAAGAAGACCTCAGGTGGTTGCTAAGAAGTACACAATGAAAAGATATTGCAACCTGGAGGGGAGAATGGCTATTTTCTCTTTTCGAATGAAGATTTCTATGCATTTCAAAGTCAACAACAAAGCTTTAATACATTTATTCCAACAAGCATTCTTCAAGAAAAGCAATTTTAAAAAGAAATTCAATTTGCATAACCTGAAAAATCCTTGTGTACTCACAGCCAATATTCGCTTTCTTTGTTTTATACATCATTATTTGTACAACTTTGGGGATGTTTCTATTTTGAAGGCCGTGTTACATTTCCGATTATTTTCTACTTTCTACCATTTGAAGGAAAATGAAGACTCAGACTCTTGCTATGTCACCTATTTTGATAGAACATAAACTGATACAAAACATGATTAAGCTGCTTTCAAGCTATTTCTAAGGTATCACAGAAATCTTTACATCTGACACTAAAAAGGGAGGGATGGCTGGATGGTGAGTTAAAAGTTCTACCCCAACTGAAAATAATAGAGTCTCTCTGTTTCACAGACTTCAAGCTTTGCCACCAGCTCTTCAGCATTTTACCTATATCATCTCACAGGTTTTGAATGTGAACCAGAACCTACTTTTTGGTTTTTATGTTATTAGGTCATCAAGAATTCTAACTCAGTGGATTTGCCACACACCAAATATTTGTAACTCCTTTCTCTCTCTCTCTCTCTCTCTCTCTCTCTCTCTCTCTCTCTTTCTTTCTTTCTTTCTTTCTTCCTTCTATCCTTCCTTCCTTCCCTCCTTCCTTCCTTCCTTCCATTCTTCCTTCCTTCCTTTCTTTACTTCTTCCCTTCCTTCCTTTCTTTTTCCTTTCTTTTCTTCTTCTTTTCCTTCATTCTTTCTTTCTTTCCACTGTCTGTGTCTATCTCTCATTATCTCCCTCCCTCCTCTGTCCTCCTTTCTTTTTTCCCCTTTTAATTGAAAATAGATTCTTCTCTCATACAATTCTTCCCAACCACAGTTTCCCTCCCTGTACTCCTCCCAGCTTCCCACCTCTTATGCTCTCCCCTAAGATTTCAATCTTAGAATTGATTTGATCTGAGCCTCAGATTAAGATTCTGAACATTTATTATTGGTTGACATATTGAGATAGGGCCTCACTCTCTAACTCAGGCTTACATGGAACCAACTATGTACCAGAGGCTGACCTGGAACTCATGGCAATCCTCCCTCCTGCCTCAGCCTCCATATCTCTGAGAAGCTTAGAATAATAAAGGCAGGGTAATGGTGTCCTGAAGAATCACTTTGTAACTTTTTTTTTTTTTTCCGAGACAGGGTTTGTGTAGCTTTGGAGCCTGTCCTGGCACTCACTCTGGAGACCAGGCTGGCCTTAACTCAGAGATCCGCCTGCCTCTGCCTCCCGAGTGCTGGGATTAAAGGTGTGCGCCACCAACACCTGGCATATCTTTTATTTTTATTTTTTACTTTTTCCAGCATGCTTGGGACACTCCACCATAAGGAGAAAATGAAGAACCTGTCTGTCAAGCAAAGCAACTTTATTAACTCACAGTAGTTAATAGGGAAATGGCAAGCTTTCGTAGTATCTCCGAAGAGGAAGCATCTCAGGGTGAATAGATATGGGTCTCAGTGAGTAGTTTTGTTTTGGGTGTTTAAGTCAGGAAACAGCCCTAGAAGCTTGTTCAGCATGGTGGTGCACACCTTTAATCCCTGTGCTCAAGAGGTTTGAGGTCAGCCTTGTCTAGAAAGCGAATTCCAGGACAGCTAAGACTACACAGAGACACCCTTTCCTGAAAAACAAACAAAAATAGATCCAGAGGCTTTGAGCAAAAGATATGTCACAATGACAGTACTGAGACATTCTCAGCATTTTATTCACAAAAGGAAAATGCACATGGTCTCCAGACAGAGACTGTGTTCAGTCCTCTGCACACACATCAAACTCCCGACATGCCCTGTTGGCTCCACTCCTGCTGCCTTCGAAGCCGTCACCATCTTCTACTACACTCTATACCCTAGTGACTTTCTCAGGGTTTCTGTAGCTTTTTCTTTTATTATTTTTATTTTCTTTCTCAACCTCTGGCTTCTGCTTCCATGGTGCTGAGATTATATGTGTGCACTAACCAATTTACCTTTTCTTTTGCTTTTCTAAAGTGCATGCATGCTCTAGAGCTGGGCTCTCAATGTTCCTAGTGATGCCGCCCTTTTAGTACAGTTCCTCATGGTGTGACCCTCAACTATAAAATTATTTTTGTTGCTACTTCATAACTGTAATTTTGTTACTGTTGTGAATCATAGTGTAAATATCTGTGGTTTCCAGTGGTCTTAAGTGAGCCGGGAAAGCATCATTCGACCCCCAAAGGAGTCGTTTGTGAACCACAGGTTGAGAACCCCTGTTCTGCATCATTACTGACTATCGTTCACTTACTTAAATCTTTAAAAAGTTTCATAGTCACCTGCCGAGCAAATGATATCCATTGCCTCTTAGCCTAAACCCACTGCAGCTTGGAGCTTTATCTTAGAAAATACTACAGCTAAGGACTGCATGGAGCAGTGCCTTTTTCACACAGGGAAGGAAATCGTTTCCCTGGGGCTAGCAGGTCCATTCCAGCAGTCAACAGAGGGCGATTAGCTTTTATGCACACCTCTTGTATGTGTCTAGTGGGAACAGAGAACAGCAAGGTTGACCAGCTGCCCTATTACTTTACCTACTTGACAGCGGCAAACAGAGCATATTGGACCAGAAACAGGGAAAGGTATTCTTACACAGGGTGATAGGTTATGAAGACTCTTCCTATCAAGAAGATTGCATTTGACCACCAAGGTCCGTTCTTGTATAGTGGAGAAGGGCTGTCTACAAACTTCAAGAACGAGACTGCCTCTCTTAATGGCATGTCTGATGAACCCCAAACTTCTTACACTGATGTAGAAAGCCAAGACATCACCTGACCTACTGACTTTTACATCAATTCCCAACACTTGTTCTCTTCCTGGGTCTAGTACTGTGTTCTTTCTGGCTACAAGAGTCTTTTCCTGTTCCTGCACAACAGCCCAGGTGGATTTCATTTCCCAGTCTTGGAATGATTGGCTCCTTTTAATTGAAATCGCATCTCAAAGATCATTTAATCAGAATGAACTACCTCAGCTACTGAATTTAAAATTGCCAACTCTTGGTCATGTTGATTCTATGGCATGATTCTACTTTCTTCATACCATTAACCATTACTTGAAATTGTTCTGCTCACTTGCTCATTCACTTTTTAAATTTGTGTCCCCTCTATAGAATGCAAGCAGGGACCTCTGTCTCTTTGCTGAATGCTATGTCCTCAGTGCCTAGATCATCACTTCAAATACAGTAAGCATTCACAAACATTGTTTTACTTTGGTTGTGGGGGTTTAGGGACCATTACCAAGCATTGCAGGAACAAGTGTAAGTTAGATATAGTTTGATAGTCCCTCCCTCCCTCTCTCTCATGAAATGCAACAGCCACATTTATACCTCTGAGTATCCCGTAGCTTTGCTTGCATATTTGAAAAAACATATATACAAGAATATCTGTGCACAGGGCAGTTAGTATAGCAAGCGTGAGGCTGCTGCCTTCCAAGTTTAGCTCTTGGCTATTATTTAGGTATTGACTGGTAAGTGACTGCCTGCACTGATAGGAAACATTCTATAAGTGATAAGGTTGTCCTGCCACTTGGTAATGGAATTTCCTTCATTTGAAATGTTGATGGATGCTTGACAGGGAGTACCTAGATTGACTTCTGAGTACTAAGTTTTTACTACATTTTCCTGGGTGGGAACATTGGACAAGAAAGCAAACTCTGTGTGTCTTCAGATGGAAGGAAGAAGACCCACATGTATGGATCTCTCCCCTTGCTGATTCTGTCAAGCCTTCTTTTTCTATACTAAACGTTACACATTAGAACAACTATTTTCTGAGCTTCTTCACCTTCTGAAGAATCAAGGGATATATCAACAACTTGGGACCTTTTAGAGATTCATTACAATTACTTTTTCAGGAAAATATTAAAGCATTCGAAATACTCATATAAAAATGAACAGTGACATACACAGAGGTATACTACAGAGTTTTCCTGTGTGGGGCCATCCTATACACTGATCTGAAAATACTAAACTAAATCGAAAAAACAACAAATTAGGTATGAAGTGTTTCCTGTAGCTTGGTTATTACTGTTTGTGCACAGAGGCAACATAAATGCTGTAAGTGTGTACATTATGACTAGAAAGAAAATTGAAAGTCCTGTCAGGAGTAGACCTTTCTGAGGAGAGGAAATTAACTGCAGAACAAAAGGAAATAGGTTTTACTAACTATCCCACGCTAATACATTGCTTACTAGCCACACATGGCTACTTAAATTTAACTAACCTCCAAGTATACCAAATAAAAAAATCTGGTCTTCTGAATCAATAACCACATTTCAAGGTTTGGAAACCAATACTTACTAACAGGAATACAGAGTATTTCTACTGCATAGGATGCTTTTGGATGTGACACTGACCTACAGTCTTCTACTGTTTCATATTTATTCCATTATATATTTTATTATTAAAGTATTAAGGCAAACCATTAATTGAATGGATAAATGATGAATGTTGTTTAAAATGTCTTCACTGATAACTACTTTGAGAATCTGAAGGTGTGACCTCAAGTAACTGGCTGTCCGATAGGAGTTCATAGCTGTTTAAGGCAGGAAAGACAGCAGAGTCAGCTCTCAGCACCTTTGATAAAGGCAGCAGGTCTTTAGCTTCACAACAGAAGCCAATTCCACATCCTGGAAACTCTCACTGTTCACCAAGGAGCATACCTAGAGGCAGGGTGGACTATCTGGCCTCTCCTTTTTCTCTGGATTCAGGAACTTACGCCCAGGTTACTCAGCCAGATCTAGCTCACCAGTGTGCTGAGTGAGACAGATTTCCATGCTTCTCCTCCTTCCACCATCCCTTAATAAAAGCTTTTTTAACATCTTCCTCCTCCATGACTAAATGTAGTTAATTCTGTGTGCTTAAGTTGGAAGATCTGTATAATGGTACTCTTAGTATTTAACTAATTATTAAGTGCTTCATGAATACCGAATGGTATTTAGCTTTTATGTCCTTGTAGTTTTGCATGAGCAAGGGCTTGGGAAAAGGAACAGATCGTGTTGATATAATAACACTAACTGGTACCAATCTAAACATTTGTTCATGATGCAGTAGGATGTGGAGAAGCAGCTTGGCCCAGTAATAAATGACATAGTCACTGAATGCCGGGGCCCCAAACTGCAGGTAGAGAGGAAGGTACAAAGTGAACAGAAAGGCAAATAAGAGTTAAAATGGTGGCAACCAATGGTGAAGTGGGACGGGACGATGGGGGGTTTATGTTGTCACATTAACGGCCAGAGTCATCCGGAAGCTGATAGCTTATTGATTAATGTGTTTTCTGTTATTTCTCTTATCCTTGTCTCCTGTTTTCCACTTCCTCACTTGAGCTTCTAAAGTCAAATACTTTAAGCCAGTCTCCTGTTCAGAAGGGAGAAGTGGTCAGTGCTGTCAGATGCTGCCCAGAGGGTGTGTGAGATGACAATGGAAGGCCTCTGCCACCTTCATTCACTGGTTCCTTTTGCACAAGGGGTGGTAGGATAGTGGGGAGAAGGAATCCACACTGCAGAGAACCTCAGAGTGAGGCAACGAGGAAAGGGGAAGGAAAGAACATGCCGACGAACCTTCTGAATTGTTTGGGAGAAATGGGTGGTCATCAGAACTAGTCACAGGCTTAAGGATAGAATTTTTCTAAAATAGTATTCAACAATTAATATGAAACACAATACGGTGGCCTTACAATTCACGTAACTGCTTCACAAATGTTCTTAGACTAGCTTAAAAACAGCAACATAATGCAAGAAGTACAGAGAGAAGGAGAAAGTAGGCTATTGACAAACTCATTAGAGCTCTTGGATCTAATCATGCTTGAAGCTTCCCACTGCTGTAGCTGGACTTTGAGAGAACTGAATTGAGTTCTCTATTTTGTTGAGTCAGAGTGAGTTATGCTTCTGCAATCTGCGAATTGTGAGTAGTACAAAACTCTCTTCCTTAAGTCCAACTAGAAGCATTTCTGTTTTCATCAAACACGTATATATCTTCCACCTCCAACACAGAATGCACACACACTATTATTGTGGGAAAAGGTAAAAAGATCCAGTATTGAGGAAGTGATGAAGGCAGACATGAAAATAGTACCTGATGAAACATGACTCTTGTGAAGATGTGAGCTGTTGGAACTAATAACTCAGTGCAATGACTGATCAGACATATTTTTAAATAACATGTTAATATGAAAATTTAAAGTTAAACAGACAAGTTGAAGAGTCCTAGGTAATAATCATATATGTGCCATGTAAGTCCTACTGTTGTCATTTTGCTATGTGTCCTACTTTGGCTTTGTCAAACATTTCACATACCCTTCCTGTATCTTTCCAGTGAGTCAGCTTTATGATGTATTTCAAAATAGGTAGCAGATGTCAATCTATTTTACTCCTAAATATTGAGGCTTGCATACTGTTGACTTGATTTATAAATTCAGCTTCAGTTGAAACAAGGATTTCATATGTAACCCAGGCTGGCAATAAGTTTGCCACCCCAGTCTCAGCCTGCTGAGCACTAGGATACCGGTATGTACTGTCACACCCTGATTCCAAACTTGTTTTCCTTTGAAAGGACCCAGTGTGTTGAGAAGTCTGTCTCTAACAGTTCTACTAGTCTAATGATATATCTGTCTTACTTATATTTTAAAATTCAAGCAGTTAACATTTTTGTACTGCTATTATAACTTTAAAGGACTTTTAAACGATTCATTCATATTTTAAAGCATGATCCGTTAGAAAAAATCTGAAAAATAGAAACCAAGGTTATGCAAGTTGACTTTTTAATATGTTAATTTATGGAGATGTTGGAAATTGTCATGTGTCAGGGATGAAGTTTGGCATGTCTACAGTAGTCATAAAAAGCAGCTACATTCCAGGTAGCTCTTCTATAGATACATGGAAAAGAGAATTGCAGAAGTCACTATGCCTTTGTGCCAATCAAGCTTTTTCTGATCAAATGTTGACCTGGAAGACTCATTAAGATTTCTGTCTATTTTTAATCATAATAATATCTTATAGAAGTCTTGTCATTTTTATCTGTTTTTCTCTCTGTATGTTTATCTATGTATTTATTGTTTCATATTTGCGTGTGTGTGTGTGTGTGTGTGTGTGTGTGCGTGCATGCATGCAGGCACACACATGCATCAACCTTGGGTGTTATTCTCAGGTGCCAATCACCTTATTTTTTGAGACACAATTTCTCACTGGCATGGCTTCACTTTCCTATCCCCTTACTACTTCCAGGGTACTGGTGTCCAGAGGAATGGGGAGCCATCATGTTCTGAGTCCATTAACATGAGCCCTGGTAAAAAGAGCTTATGGACTTCAGACTCCTGAATGCTTTCATTAAAACTTGCCTGGTTCCTCTATCCTAGGAAGAATCACAAATCTCAGTAGAGCCCACAAGGTGTAGCTCTGTGGTGAGAATGACACCTCACTGTAGGAGCTCATCAGGGCCACAGGACACTCATGTCCCACGGACACTGTCTTTTTTTGTGTGTTCAGGGATATGTAACTGTATTATCTAAGGTTTTTAATATAGCTTTTATTGTTGCCATCTCATTCATTTGCTCATTTATCCATTTACTTATTTCTCTGCTTATTTGGTAGCCTCTAGCATTGAGAATGGAAACATGGATTTATAGTTTCTGTCTGCTTATTCACTTGCCAAAACTGTATGACGGGTGAGTTATAACAAGTGTTTTCCTTACAGTATCTTTTGTTAATGGGTCCCAGATAGACCACGGCTTTAGACCATTGTGTACATATGTTTCATTGCAGGAACAGTGCTCAAAATTGAAAAGGTGAAGGTCAGCTCTTTAAATGTTTCCATGCTAGTGTGTGTGATCATTCTTACAACACAATAGCCTTTCATAGTCCCCTTCTTGCCTTTTCAATAACCACAATTGAGTTTTTAAACTCTCAGAGCTACATACTCGTTTTGCTCCATTCTCCACTCTTTCCTGCAGTCAGTCACATCACCGGTGAATAAAAGGAAGTGGTGACAGAAAGGAGTCCGGGAAAGGGCTGCTAGGGGCACCATCTCTCCAAGGGTTCTTCCCAACTACAGCCTTTAAATAGATTTGGAGCATGGGGCAGAGAATAATGGTGACGGCAGTGTGTCTGCTGCTTACCAAATGTTGAATTCTGTGTCAAGAATGATAATTACTGGCTCTGAAGGAGAGAAACCATCAACCCTGTCCTGATTACTAATTAATCAGGCACTAACAGCTTTTAGACCAGTGACCCTGCTTCAGCAATGCAGGTCACAAAGTGATGCTTAAGAGTGCAAAGAACCCCAGATGTGTTCTCCTGCCTCGTTAAAGAGTCCCTGTTAGTTTTATTTGGTGTCTTTCTTTATTTTCATTATTTGTTCTATTTTCACAGAAGTAGTATTTAGTGAGTAGAGTCTGCCTGTTGGAACTCTTAAGGAAATCCTGGGGGCGGAGCAAGGCACTGAACGTCTGCAGTGTAGACATTTCCTCCTCACACTGACAAGTCAGATTTGTCCCAGTGGATATCATATAAATCATCTAGGTTATGTCTGGTCATTGGCAAGGATCTTGAAACAAAAAATAATGAAGAAAATTGATCATAATGTTACTGTCACAGTGTTGTATTTACATGTATTCCAGTTTTGTTGATTTGTTAAATTATTCTGTAGCAGTTTTTCTACCACTTGATACTTTATGGACATTTTTGTGGCCTTAAATTTATTTTATCATATAGGAGGAAACCTTGAGGGAGGGACTGTGTATTGTTTGACATGGGGAATCCAAATGCCTCAAGTTCATGGGAATGCCAAAGTCTTCTCCATAGGGTGAGGCTCCGAAAGGTGACAGAGCCTTCCTCTGAAGGTAGAGCCAATGCTGGCAGTATGTGTGGAAACTAGCAGCCACAGCTCCCTTCTCCTGGATGACCTGAGGTTCCAGCATTTCTTGCTGCAGCTGGTGCTGCTCTCTCAGAGATAGCTCATCCCATTTGATCCCAGCTTTTCTGGATGTGTGTCTGTTTCTTTTTCATTCCCTTGCTGCCCCAGTCAGTTTCCAAGGACTAAGCTGCACTTGTTGCAACATTACTGGGTCATCCTCAATTGAAGACAGGTACAGAAATGTGTCCCTATCACCCCTAGTGAACATTTAGACTAATTCTCCTTCAGTCTTGTGGCACAGTAAAGGACACACACTTCAAGGATTTTGGCATATCAATATAGTGATGTTCACAGAGCTACATTTACTAGAAGGAATATAGCAGCACACAAAAAGACTCCCTTTTCCAGCCCTCCACATCACCTTTTAAACATTTTGTCAATTGGTAAATATGGATCTTATTGCCACAACTTACATTTCTTTCTTTTAAAGTTAGATGAGAGCTTACCAAGAATTCTGATGGTTTAAAAAATATGCCAATTAGAATTAACTAGTTTATAAGAGCACCTGCCAACCAGACCAGCAAACAGAGTTCAATCCTCTGGACAGGCAAAGCAGAAGGAGAGAATCACCTTCTTCAAGTGTCCTCAAATACACATGACAAGCGTAAGACCCACCCCACCTCTGCAAAAAAAATTAAAGAAATAAATATAAAACTGACAATTTCTCATCATTGCACTATTTGGCTTTTTCATTGATTGGTAAGGAATTCTTTATATATTAGTCTTTCCGTTTTATACAAAGTAATTGGTTTTAGTTTGTCATTTGCCCATTTGTCTCTTTGGCCCTTTTTGTTTAATTTTGTTTTGAGTGAAAGTTGACTTTCAATGACAAGATTTTAATATCTAATCTAGAAAGAAGAACTCAAATTTTCTTAGACTACTGTGCTTCATCTGATCCTTGTCTATGGAGTGTATGCTGGGAGAAGATATGATGACTGGAAGGGAGAATCCAGATGGCCTGGGTAAAGTACTCTACAATAGCTCCTGCTAGTCAAAAGAGATAGGATCTCATCACTTCCCACTTTTACGTTAGTAACTGAATATAATCAAGCCAAATTGTACCTTTTTTATTTTTTATTTTTTTGGACCTACACGTTAGGGACAAATATCACTATTTTTATTTACCTACAGCGTTACAAATTTTTCTTTTAGTGAACTTCCACATGCCCCTAGAGCTTTTCCTTCTGTTCAGTTGTTATGAATCATTTCCATTTAGAAAATGCCAACAGCTTTGATGAGTTGGGCCTGTCCCTTCCACTGAATGCCTGATGTTCACTGATCTTACAGGCAGAGAAGGGCAGCACACTCAGAGATGCCAAAGAATGCTTTCCTGATTCCCAGCCTGTATAAGTTTTAACATCAAATGGACACACACAAAGCCTTTGACACCTAAGCTATTGTGGTGTGGTGGCATTGCTAGCAAAATGGGCAATGCAGTTTACTAATGTCTGCTTGGTAGATGATGCACTGTGTGTGGGCAGTCTTCTCACAGTGAGGTAGAGCCATCCTTTGGGGGTGTGTATCACTAGTCATGCATTCTGTGGATGACTGCTGATATTATAGTTGAGTGGCATCGGGACCTATCCCAATCTTCAGAACATGAGAGTTTGACCCCAGATATTGACACAGTGTGGAATATGAAGATCTTGAATTTGCAAGTAGGCATGGCCTGGTATCATAGATCATGGGAAGTCTCTGCTGAGTCAGTGGCCTTTTTGTGTCACTTTAGTCAAATGTTTATGGGCCCTGAGTTCTGTAAACAGACATTTCCTGTAGTAAATGTTTGTGAGGAACTCTGGATTCAGTCTGATGCTTACTAGGGTGCCATGTTTCATTATTTGTTCAGTTTTGAAGGATCCATCCTACATTGGATTTTCCCAGTCAAGCTTCCTTCATTGTTAACCTCGGATGAAAGTTCAGTTTCTAACTGTAAGAAAACATGGGTTTCTCCTTGAGAGAGTCATTCCTTGAGTTAGGTTCTAGATTCCTGCCTTCCCTTGCTCCAGCCTTCCCAGTGGAGGTAACTTTCAGTACAGATGCTTGAGATTTGTTTGTTGTTTGTTTTTAAGATTATAAACCAATGGAAGGAATGAGGTAGTTTTGAAATCTTCCTCATTTACATCTCTTTCCTAGTAAGTTGTCTTCATCTCTGTCCAGCAGGGCAGACCAGCCAACAAAGATAGAGTCTGGGAGAAGTGATCCAGGGTAGAAAGACAGTAAGGGAAGGAAAAGAAAAACTTAAAGAAGGTTTGGACAGATGGAGGGAGGAAGGAGTGGAATGTGAGAGACTACAGAATGTGATTGGAGCTTTTGCTTGGCCTGTTTTGGGATCTATGAGCTTGCTGATCTCTGCCATTCTGCCAAGTTGAGCCAGTGACAACTAAATAACTCCACACTGCAGCTTGGGAAGGTTGGGCTGGGGATGGTGGATGCGCTAGTGTGATAGAAATAAAATCCAGATGTTTTCACATAATTCGTGTGGGAGGTGTGGAAGTTTCTCCAACTAAACACCTTCATATAGCAAAAATAACAATAGTGACAAATACTTACAAGTGCTTATGTGTGCCAGACACTCACAGTTCTTAAAATAAACCCCAAGACATTGAGCAGGAGATGGTGTTGAGATTATCTTTCCCTATTTAGAGATGAAGAGCCCCCCTGCCCCCACAGTGATGTTAAATAACTTTCTCAAAGTCACCAGTGATGAAGAGTGGTTTGAAACCAGGCAATTTGGCCTGATAACCTGAGAGGATGACTATTGTTAAGACCAAAGAGACATGATGGCCCACAGTAGTGACTGGCTACAGATGAACCAGTGGATGGGGCTCAGTGGTGAAACAGAATTGGTAAAGAAAACAATGTTTTCCTTGAATATAGCAATATAGCATAAGTATTCCCAAGGCAAGAATTAATTATTTTTTCTATGTAGACAAGGTTCTAGTATTTAGTTTTGCAACTGTGCGTATGGAAAAATAAAGAATGGATTTTTTTTTATCAAGTTCCAGTAGCTAGAATGAAGTGTGATTCAACTTAAATTACCTTAAATTACTGTATTCCATGCCTCTTGGACTCAATATTACTAAACTACATGTTTTTTGGTTAAAGTGGTCATTAGAAGACAAGTCCTTTCAGTCCCACACAATTTATTCTGTTGGCTAATGACAGTTCTTGTTCCTGTATCTGGGATGTAGTGTGGTCAGAAACTCTATCTTCCCACAACTGAGCTAGGACTATTTCTAATACCCCATTCACACATCAATATAGAATGGTCCCAAGACTGAACTTCAAATATCATTTAGTTGATTAAAAACCTGATATATTAGAATAACAACAAATGGCCCTAACAAATTCTTGTGTCCCCTTTTTTTTTTTTTTTTTTTTTTTTTGGTTTTTCGAGACAGGGTTTCTCTGTGTAGCTTTGGAGCCTATCCTGGCTCTCGCTCTGGAGACCAGGCAGGCCTTGAACTCACGGATATCTGCCTGCCTCTGCCTCCCGAGTGCTGGGATTAAAGGCATGCGCCACCAACGCCTGGCTAAAATTCTTGTGTCTTATTTGACCACGGTGGAATAAATTTAGATATGAGCAGCAACAGAAAATATACACAGTCATAGAGAGTGAACAATAGACTATTGAAGATAAAAAATAGGAAAGTAAAGATTTATTAGAATTGAATGAAAGTGAGAAGACAGCATATCAAAGTCGATGGGATATACATAAGAGTAAAGTTTATAGCTCTAACAGCCTACATAAAAAAATTCAGAGAGACTCAAACAACTTGGTAATGTTTCTTAAAGCTTTGGGAATATAAGAACAAACAATATCTGAAAAGAATGGGGCAAAAATTAATGAAGTGGAAATTAAAAAGAAACAAACTTTTAACCAATTAAGAAAAAGGACAAAAAACATCCAAGTTAATAAAATTAGAGAAGGATTAGGAGATACTATAACAGGCACCTAGGAAATGTAATGATTACAAGGACATACATCCAAAACCTTTATTTTTATCAAATCAGAGAACCTAAAATGAATAGGTGAATTTCTTTTTTTTCTTTTTTGATTTTTCGAGACAGGGTTTTTCTGTGTGGCTTTGGAGCCCATCCTGGCACTCGATCTGGAGACCAGGCTGGCCACGAACTCACAGAGATCCGCCTGCCTCTGCCTCTGCCTCCAGAGTGCTGGGATTAAAGGTGTGCACCACCAGCGCCCAGAGAATAGATGAATTTCTTAATGCATAAGTCATACCAAAGGTGAACTAAGAAGAGGTGAAAAACAGTACAACAACAATAAAAAGATTCCTTACTGAAAAACAGCCATATGGATTTGTTACAGCATTTTTTCCAGATCATTAAAGAGAAATTAAATCTATGCATACTGGCAACATTGAGTAGACTCAATGGATTTAAAAACAAACAGACAACTAGGCTGTGGTAGCTCACACCTTTCATCCCAGCATTTGGGAGACAAAGTGAGGCAAATCTCTGTAAATTTGAGGCCAGCCTGGCCTACATAGTGAGTTCTAGGAAAGCCAGGGCTATACAGAGAAACTCTGTCTCAAAACACCAAAACTAACTAACAAAATAAATAAATAAATAAAATCAGATGAAGTTGGGAAGAAAAAGTGGTGGAGTGGGCAGCAGAAGGGTGAGAGGGGAAGGGATGTTGGTGGATTTGATCAAACATATTCTATGAAATATTCAATTAAAAACAGAACCTTTTTTTTTTACAATGTATAAGCATAGTCCACACAATTAGATAAATAAGGCAAAACAGTAAATAAGTCTAATCAGTGACTGCTGCTCAATGCTCTGGACTTGTAGGCTGGCCTTCTGTTTATATAATTAGCAACTGTCTAAGAAGTGTAAAAAGGCCTAATTAACAAGTTTCCTGAACTTTCTCCTTCATGAAAACAGCTTCATGGAGAACCGAAAAGAAAGTCACACAGTTTAATTCAGTGTTCCTGTTCTATGGAATCCTACTGCTTCCCTTAACCCACCTCAATTGTGTGTTTTGATGGCTATGAAGTTCCAAGTAGCAGAGAACAACATGCTTTCTTCACAACACAGTTAGCCTTGCCCCCAGTGGGGGGACTATAGCAAGGCTGTAATTACCCATGTTTTAGCATCCAATGGAAGAAAGCTGTATGGCAGTGTACCTGCTGCCTTCCAATCCAGTACCTTTGATGGAGTGCACCGCCTCCACCCCAGCTGAAATTTACAAGGGGTAAAGCACAACTTTATGGTATGTCTCTTGAGGAAGAAATCAGAAAGGACATCTATGTTTCTTTTACTAAGGCTGCTATGGTTGGCTCCATTTCCATCAGCCAATTGCTTCCTGACGACCAAGTTCTTAGGTACCATGACCTTGGAGTTATGATTTTAGTATATGATTGTGGGTGGTGGTTCACTCTCTTAGAGACATCTGCTGTTGGGTTTGTGTTTCACCCAGATAACCAAAGATGATCTCTTCTACAACTCTAGCTTAATCTGCAGGGACTTTGTTTGCAAACACATTCACATTTATAGATCTCAGGGACTCAAATGGTGGTGTATGGCTGAGAGCTCATTTTGTAGCCTGATACAGAGACGGGGACAGAGGAGACACGGAGGGAAGGGTAATGTAGAAGCCTGCATAAATGTAGTATCATCTGTCATCCAGCCATTTACTCTAGACCACTGTCTTCTGGTTATGGTCTGCTTTTCATAGATGTAACTGTGTCAAGGATCTTAAACTCATCTCCAATATGACTCCCTAGACTTAAGTACCAGGGGCTTTACCAGATCCAACTGCCAGCAGTCAAGTCAGATAATATTTCCAGCCTTCCCGATCACATATCAGCAATGGAATTGCTCTCCTGCACTGGGTGCATCGTAGCTGCATGATATCTACAGCAGTTCCTGCTTTCTTCCACCTAAAATCTCTTTAAATAATGCCACCCTATAGCCTTCATCCAGCAGTTTGTGG